GTGTAGTACCAATACAACGTGTAAACGTGTTCCGGTATTGCAATTACCTGCAATTTGTAAAACTCAATTCTCAAGCAAAAATTTTTTTCCTGGTACGTTTCACTACAATATGTTACTCACTCATGTTTTAACGGAGAAAAACTCACGCTTCATGAATTTGACAGCCAACAGACTGAATACACCTTTTGGATCCATTAGTACTAGAAAAAGCCACTAGAAAAAGCCAGTTTGGCTTAAAGAAGGAAGTAATAGCAGAACGTGGAAGGGAGAAGAAAAGACGTGGGAGAGGATGATGAATACAAAAAACAGTATGAAAAAGTTGTGTAAAACCGGCAGTTGCTGATGAAATAGTTGTTCACTTTGGTTTAAACCCGTTTTTCTTCTTATCACTTTCGCTACTTAAAAGTATCAATTGTCAAAGCGAGAAGTACAAAATATAGAAACGCTCGGATATACTCGAGAAATTGAACGCGTCCAAAGTCTGCTCCAAGGGTGCAAAAATATTCTTACATATTTTTACAAACACACTAAAAAAAGTAAGTTATATCCTTTAATTTTCCTGAATTTTGAAAATTAAGCTTACTTTGCTTAGAACGTTATGTTCAAAAATATTCTGCTGCACTGAAATTCTTGCAAAAATGCTAAAATCGATGTCGGCCGGATTCGTAACACTGTCCCATTGATGCTAAAATATAAAACGAAATAAACATTAGTGCAGTCAAGTTCCTTCACATAAAATCTATTATTTAAATGCAAGAGCAAGGGAAGAGAAGGGGGTCATTTTTGGCAAAACTTCAGAAATCACAACTGAGAAAAATTTCCATCCATAAATAATAGAATTCATTATTATTAAACGCCCAGTTTACTTCCACCGAATGATTTCAGTTTCGCTATATAATCACCTAATTACGTTAACAGTTAAAAGAATCCATTTTCATCTCATCAAGTCATTTTATTTATGAGGGTGTTTCAATACATTTGAATTTAATTACTTCATTACTTAATCATTCATTTCAATTCGGGGATAGTTAGGAGAGGGAATTATCGATAGCAAAACAAAAAAAGTACGATTTTCTGCAATAAAAAAACTAACCTGTTAAAAATTAAGCGTATTTTCTCTAGCACTAATATCTATAAATATTAACCTCAAAGTACTTGTAATTTGACGGATAGCAAAAAAAAAAAAGAGAAGAACCCACCTCATAATAAGCCGAAGTACTACGAATCACATATGATCCCGACTTTTGAGACATCCCTTGTTGCTTTTCGAGCATTTCGAATAAAGTAAAATTTTTGAAAGTTACAAAAACCTCTTCAAAATCTGCTGAAATCGTGTATTTTGCGTTACCACGGCTTCGCAACAAACAATCATTCACAGGAAGACTTCGCTGAAATGAAAAAGCATAATTTGCAGGGCTCTAGCTGTTGCGAAATGCCCTAGCGCTTTATTTCCGGACTCTGCGAACATTTAACACACTTTAACTAGAAAAAAAAAAGAAGTTCTTTCCAATTTTTTGCATGGAACGATATTATTTGCGACAGAGGCAAAATCTGGTTACGAGCAGAAAATGTGTCGCTTTTTTTTCTATTCGTTAACAGTTTTCAGAAGTCAAATTTTTATGAGTAAAAAAAAATCATTATTTTTGAGCTAAAATCTTTTCAGTTGCTTTTGCTAGAGGAACTTTCGAGCTGAAAACTTGTTCAGAACAAAAGACGAACTTTTGGCTTGAATGGCCGCTTGGCTGGACACAAAGCAAAACAGCACTGATCATTAGCAAACGAAAAATTGGCCAACTGAACACGCTTTGGATTAAAAAATGACCAAAGTGTAAGCATCATTTTTGGGGATTCATGAATTTGCCTTGACAAATAAAGCATTGATCAGAAATTAGGGCGGACAGTTGCTGTTAGCATTTGTCACTGTTCGGTTATCCCCTGCAACTGTTCGGATTACTTGTGCGAAAATGCTTTATAACAATTCTTACGAAAAGCTTTAGAAGTCGTAAAAGTACAATGAAAAAATTACTTCATCCCTGTGAATCCGCAGAAAAGAGACAATTTTGTTCGCATTTTTGCTAGTTTCAGGCAGAGCATAACTGATCAGCTCCACGCTAACATCGCCGGACTGCTGATAAAGTTTCAACACAGCAAATACTTCCGGCGCCAACGATTGGATATAGATGTAAAATTTCGTTACTCCCTGAGCTATCCAAATCTGGAATAGATCGATAAGTAAGAAGGATCTTTTTGGAGGCACTTCTGGATGGCAGATTTTTATTTCTACCTCAAAGAACTGCACCATCAGCGTCCAGTCAGCGGCGAGAGACAGTGGCGTCGCACAAACAGCCATTTTGTGTTTCCACGGCCCACGAGCATCAAGTAGTTGAATTGGCACTTTTACTGCAGGCTTGTCTGCTCGCGACAAAAATGCCTGCGGCAACGTTTGTTGACTTTTTGATAGCAGCTCTTCCATTGCTTTGTTTCGAAAAGTCACTGCATAGTGACCATAAAAATCGCATCTAAAAAGCTGAGTGAAATGAACAGATGAAAAAAGAAGTTACACTTGAGGCTATTCCCTGAGAAGTATGCACATGCTACAAATATCACTGCATCAACAGCGTCGAGAAATTCTACGGTGGCTCAGAACCCCGATAAGGATTTCTATTGGACTAGATAAAAAGGTAATGCTGTTACAAGAATTTCCTTCGTATCCTTGCTTACAGCCAGGCCCCAGCCGTCTCCTGTTGCGTAGGGTAGTAGTGCTCGTCGCTGTTCAGGAATACGGAAGCTAGGAAACTGAAATTTTGGTGAATGAGATCTCGTCGTATACGAAGTTAACTCAAAATCAATCCTCAGGTCGTTTTGTGTCATCGTTTCTAATCTCGATTCTTATGAAAATGCATGACAGTGCGGCTAACTTTGGATAAAATTGTGACGGGCATGTTAGGATTGGATGAGTCAGCATCGGGACAGTCACAAAATTGGTTCCATTACGCAGGTGCAATTTCAGTGAAACAGGAAGCATACATTTATTGGTTGCTGTTATCCTTATTGAGTAAGATGAAATAGCATAGGCGCCCAGCACGTAAACCTAAAAATTTTTGAAGAATTTTACAGGGATTACATCAATTTTATTAAAACCTATTTTGCAAAACAGTTTGAAATGGAGGGGAATCAAGCCATTTCTTTTTATATCTAATAAATCACTGCACAAACAGCTTGAAAGCACTCCTGCTGTGCAGAAGCATTCCCAAGCTATTCCTCGGTTTCACACGCTGACCCATGAGAATTTTCGCGAAAATCTGTTAACTCCAGAGTCAGGCAAGACTGAAATCATAAAGAGTCTTTCCTGCTAGAGTGGGTTCTTGGAAATTTAAAGTTAGCTTCTCCGTATGCTTGTGCTTCATGCGCAAACGCATGAAAGTACAAATGAGTTTTTGGCATTTTTCTAGATCCTCCGAGCAAAACAAAGCAAAACACATGTTCTTATCTCCACTGACTTTTATTATTGTTATTGTTATTATTATTAATAATAA